ATCAGATAATGCTTTCTCCCACCCCCACCCACCCCCACAAAGCCTACCAACTTTTCAAACTTTTATTAAATACAAAACCCTCGGTCTCTACGACCGAACGCTGCATTCAACGTACGCTGAAAAAAGGGTCAGACATTCAAATGTACAAAAGTCACCAGTGCCCCCCAGCCCTGGCGAGCTGCCCTGCTCCCAACCCCACTGCTCCCAGCCCCCCATGGAGCGTCAGGGGTGCTGGGGCTCCCAAGTCCCATGGAGGGGTACAGGGCTACCACCCTGCATGGTCCCAGCCTCTCCTGCCTACAGCCCCCCTGCCCCTGGCCTGGAAGGGGGAAGGCAGACAAGAGGAGACCTCAAGGGGAAGATTCCCTCCCTGCAAGAGGGGGGCTGCACTAGCCCCCACCAAGAGGGGCTGGGGGGTTCAAATGAGCCCTATTTCCCCCACCAAAGGGGGGAGGGCAGGTGAGGGCAGGCGCAGGCAGGAGCTGCACACACACACAGCACCTGCCTTTGGGGAAGGGGGATGGGATACAGCTGCCATCCCCCCAGCCCTGGGGATACTGAGGCACAGCGAGGGGCGTTCGCTAATCAGAGGTCTCTGTTTGGCAGAGCTGAGACAGGGCCCGGCTCTAAGCACCAGACTAAAGCAGAGGAAGACAGCAAGCCACGTCTGAGTGCCCAGCAGCATGGGCAGTGCCTGGCCAGGGCAGCAACCTTGCCCTGATCCCGCCTGCCTGGGGGCCCCAGGCTGCTCCCATCCCCAGCTGGGGCAGCAGTGGCTCCAGCGCTAGTAAAGGGGGAAGCCTGCACCCCACTTCTCACAGCGCTGGTGGGGACCCTCCAGCTCTCACCGAGCAGTGGGATTTCACCCTCCCCACCCAGGGTGCAGGCAGGAGCTGGCATGGACTGGGGGCTTCTTGCCAAGCCTGGGGTTGCCCCCTCCCTCTGTGCCAGGAGCTGCTTGCAGGGCAGCTGGGCTCATCCACCAACACACCACGTATGGGGCAGGGGTCCTGCAAACGCACTCGTGGGGATGGGGGAGACGGAGAAATCCTGGGGACCAAAGGGCCGGCTGGGGGGCAGCCGTCTCCAGAAGGCAGCAGAGTAGGCAGAAAACATCCCTGTCCAGTCCTGGCTCTTGAGCTGGGGCAAAACTTGCTATGCCCAGCCAGCCTAGGCACAGGGGTTCCCGGTTACAGGAGCACTAGCCGCGGGCCAGGCGGGGCGGTGGCCTGCCGATCTCCACCGTGATGTTGGTGTACATGGGCTGGCGGGAGATCTCCACCAGCCGGTACTGCAGCGAGCTGATCCCATCCCGCTTCATCGTCATTTTGGTGTTCTGGATCTTGGTGAATCTGGTGGAAGGAAGAGTGGGATGAGGGTGGAGGGATGTTTTGCTGTAGTGCCAGCAGTGCTGGATCTCTATAGGGGTGAGCAGCCAAGTGATCGCCCAGCATCCCAACTGCCCCAGCCCTGTGGCTCACTCACCTCTGCGGGTTGGGCTCGTTGTGTTTGTCGCGTTCATGCTTAATCATGCGGTACCTCCCAATGCGGATGTCGGGCCTCGACACCTTCATGCCATTCAGGGAGATGCTGGGGACCAGGAGCAGAGTGGGATCAGTGTGTGGGCACCAGGGTGGGACATTCCCCAGCCCAGAGACCTCCAGGGTCAGACCCCAGGCAAAATAAACCTGTCCTTGGTTGAACAAAGCTGTGCCAAGCCAAGATGAGCAAAGCCAAGCCCCACCCAAGCCAGTGTCATGACCTAGAGTGCCACATACCCCATGGCACTGTGCCCAAATTGCCACTCCCGTCCAGGGACAGGCAGCTGCATTCAGCCTGTGCTGCACAGAGGCAGCCATCCATGTGCAGCCATCCATCCCTCCCTCCCTCCTTCCCTCTGTGGCCCCTGCCCTTTACATTCCCTGAATGCTGCTGCCTAGCCCTTCCTTTGGAGCCCTTCCCTCAGATCAAGGACTGCCTGAAGTTCTTCCAGAGCCCTACACACTTCTTGTCCTGCACCCTGAGCCCACCTTGTGTGGAAATCACAACTGTGCCACGTGCCTGGGGCTTCCACAAGGATGTTTTGCTCGTCTGGCCATTACAGGCTGGTTACACCCCTGTGGCTGCACACTGCTTCCCTGGGCAGCACCATGGGGAACTGGGCTTTGCTCAGCACGCAGCCATACTGCTGCCTGCCAGCTGCTGGCAGGAATGACTGCGTGGCTGCTACATGGCCACCACTGAAACGCTTCCAAGTTTTCGATCTCAGCCCTGGACACATCCAAGTCTAGCATCCCAGCCCCTGTACGGAGCAGAGCCCACAGGCACACCACCCTGCGGGTGCAGTGCACACTGTGCTGGCACACCTTCAGGCTTCAGCCACAAGGGAGGCAGAGGGATGTCCTGCAGCACCCTGGGAAAGGCCAGTTCCATCCATGAGGGTCATCAGCCCTGAAGCTGGAGTGTAATTCAGTCCCTCCCTGACATGTGGCACAACTTGTGCACATCCCCCAGAAAACCGGGAACACCACTGAAGTGGTGCTAATTCAGTGCTCAGTGGGGAGCCTGGTACACCTCAACCAGTCAGTGCTAGCGAGGGATCGGGACCTACCGATTAAAGATGTCATCATCCTCTCCTCCCCAGCCCCAGTACTCATTGGGAAAGCCATTGATCTTCAGGAACTGGGACTTGCTCAGCCCAGAGACACCACCAAAGTAGCCGGCATAGGGAAGCCTGCAGTTGACAGCAAATGGGTTAGCCCCAGGAACAGGCAAAGATGGAGGTGAGCCCCATGGAGACACCCAAGTACAAGGACCGACCCCTTTCCTGTGTCACCCTCCTACCCAGGGCTCTGTGCCCTCTCCCATCTCAGGTCCACAATCTGAACCATTGACCTCATGCCTGCCCCAGGTGACAATTGAGGATGGTTGCCCTTATGCCATCCCAGAGAGATAATCCAGCCCTACTTGGGCAGAAACACCCTAACTCCCCAGGGCACCCACCTGAATCCAAACTTGTCCATGCCAACAGCAAAGTGCCGTGGCTGCTCGTAGCAGCGATAGAGGTTGCGATCGTCCATGGGGATGAGGTCCACGTCGCTGAAAATGAAGCAGTCATACTCCTCGTCGTCCTTGAGTGCCTCCATGAATCCCACGTTGAGCAGTTTGGCCCGGTTGAAGGTGTCTTCACCGAACTGCAGGGCAAAGCTTAGCAATGCCTGCTTGTCCATCCCAGCCCCACCACCCCCTTGCCCCTGGCTCCCCTCACCTGGTTGATGATGTAGATACCATAAGCCACCTTCTGTCGGCGCAGGATGGGGTGCAGGTAGTGCAGCCAGTACTTGAGGTGGTGCTCACGGTGCCGGAAGGGGATGAGGATGGCCACTTTCTGCCGGGGTAGGCAGTCGGGGGGGGTGTACTTGCCGCCCTGGCGCACATCAGGGTTCTCCCGCTGCACTCGCTCCATGCTCATGGGAGAGCTGAACTCGATGAGCAGGCGTCCAACTGTGAGAGGGAGGGCAGGGCGATGCCCACAGGACAGGACATGGTCAGGGTCATGGTCACCTGCTGCTCCTGCCTGGACTGGTAAAGCAAACAGCAAGGGGGACCTGCAAGGGGGACCGGCACTGCCGAGGGCAGAGAGTGCCCAAAAATTTTCCTGAACAGGGACAGAGAGACTGGGCTAACAAAGCCTGAAACCAGCTATCCTGATACAGTTCCAGGCTGGGTTTTTTCTGCTATTTCACAGGGAAGCTGGGCCCAGGGAATAAGGATGTCAGTCATGAGCACCCACCTTAGCCCCATGTTCAGAGTCAGAGCCCAAATTCATCCCCAACGCTCACCCAGCATGTCTCACCTAAGCCAGGAGGTATCTCCTGGCAGGGCTGCAAGGGCTTCTCAGTGGCAGACTGGTTGGTGCTGGGCTTGGTGCTGGGGGATGGGGCCTCAGCACCAGCTGGCCCGTAGCTGGGAACGGTGCCGTTGGGGCGGGACGAGTTGGAGAAGGGGTGGGTGCGCGAGGCGTTCCTGGCGTTGAAACGGCTGAAGAAGTCCAGGTGCTGCGCGTAGACGTCAAAATAGAGGATCATGATGATAACGAAGTGGAGCAGGCAGAGCAGCAGCACGGCCTTGCAAATCCTTTCCAGGGTCACCCCCAAGAGCAGCCTGGTCATCTTCTGGGCACGGGCAGGCGGACATGTGCGCTTGGCGGGGCAGGGGGGCGGCTCCAGCCACGGTCCTGATCCTGCCAAGACACCTCATGCTCAGGACACCACGAGTCTGAGCTCCCAACCCATCCCAAATGACACTGGGACAGCAGGAGCAGCACAGGCCTGATGCAGACATGAAAGGCTTGTAGGCTGGTATGCCAGAGAACACCCGAGGAGGAATGCTGCACCTGGATCCCTGTTCTGAAGGCACAGCCATGAAGATAACAGAGTTCCTCAGCCCCAAATAGCAAGTCCCCTTCTTGCTTTCCTAGGCCAAGACCAGAACAGGACAGACCCACTCCCCTTTTTCCCCACTCAGAGAGATGATGCAGACACTTCCAGACATGCCACAAAAAGCCTCCATGGAGGCTGGATCCTTGATGAAGGATACACTCTCCAGAAACATGGCCAGCCTGGGATGTCCAAAGGGCACCACAGGTGTCCCCACCAGCCACTCCTTTCTGAGCCACTTCAAATCCCTGTTCCCCATCCTGCTCCCTCCCCACAGAGCTACACCCCAGCAGCAGCACCAAAGCAGGGTGGCAATGAGAGTCACGCTGGCAGGGGCCCTCCTCAAGGCACACAGTGGGTCAGCAGCTGCACAGCAGACAGAGCCAAGCCAAGCTGAGCAGGACATCCCAGCCCCCAAGTAAGTTCCCTGCCCCATCCAGGGAGGTCTGGCTTACAGCCAGCAGCACAGATCCTCTCCCCTCCTCCTGATGGTGAGGCCTCCTGGGACACTGGACTGCTGGAAGTCAGGGTCCCCTTATCTCCCACATGACACCTGGAGCTGGGCCAGAGCCCTGCCAGGAAGCCAGCTGGGAGAGTCACTAGAGGGTCCCAGACAAGTCAAACCATCCGCCTTTCCCAGCCCTGCAATGCCAGGGCTAAGGCCACAGCACAGCCATGCACCCCAGTTCCTGCCCTGATCCCTGCCCTGCCCATCCCTGCTTTCAGGGAAGCTGCTAGGACATGGCAAAGCAACCACAAGGGACAGGCACTGGGGCTCACAAAGCCCTGAGGACCTCGGGACAGGCCAGAGCAGCTGCATAGTCCCTGGGGGGACCTTGGTGGCTGGGGGCCTGCAGCAGGACCCCCAGAAGGAGTGCAGGTAGCACCCAACAGTGCTGGCAACCAGTCACTGGCATGGCCACACTGGATGGGAATGGGGATCAGAGCCGAAGTGTGAATCAGAATCCTTCACCCCACCGTGCTCTGGGGTGTCCTCTTACAGTTGCAGGACTGACCCTGGCAGGCAGACCCTGGCACCCATCACAAGTAGGGAGGTGCTAGAAAAGGCTCTAAGCACACCAGCCCAACTATGTCCACCTTCTCTCTGCAGGATGCAGAGCAGTATCCCTGTGGATAGGGGTGTCCTGGCACATGTCAACAGCCCAACCCCACATCCAGTTTTTTTTCTAGAAAGTAGCCCTCTGAAGAAAAGCTGGTCTTGCTGTTATTGCTCAAACTTTCCCCCTTGACAGTGCCTTGTCACCCTGCACAGACCGTGCCACGGGGACCTGCCTGCCCCAGCACATGCCAGAAACCCTCCCCAAAAACCTGTGCAGTATATGGAGTGGTGGTGCCTCAACAGCCAGACAGGGATGCAACAGGGAAAAATCAGAGCTGGTTTTAGGGGCGCTTTGGCAGAATGGTTCACGAGGTTGAGAGTGCTGCACAGCAAGAACAAAAGCAAAGCAGTCCATCAAGCAGCAGCCACAGGACACCACGAACATGAGTGGGCTTAAACTGCTAAGGAGGGGGTTACAAAATATGATGTCATCTTCCCCCACCACAAGATCTGTGCAGGGTGTGAGGGGCCAAAAGCAACCCGGGGTTGGGGAGCTGGTCCCCAGGGTTTCAAGCCAGTGCAGTATGTGCCATGGAGCTGGTGATGCTCGTTTTGGAGGGGATGCTCAAACCCGTGGACTCAATCCTTCTTCCCACAAGTCATCCCCAGGGCTGGGAGAAGGGAGGCACGGTGAAAGCCGGTGGTCCCGATGCCCTAAAGGTGGCCACCTCCCGGCCAAAAGTGGGGCGAAGGACCGCATTCAGCAAAACTAACACTCCCCCCGCCCCCTAATTTTTCTCAGTCCCCGACACATGCGAAAACTTATTTAAAAAACGAGAAATAACCTCAAAATTAGGCTTTTTCCCGAGCTGGAGCGGTGCCGCCCCCGGGTGACCGGGATCGCATCCCCTGGGTCGCATCCCGGGCCTCCCCCGCCCGGCCAGGCCTGCCCGCGCCGCTCCACTCACCGCGGCCTCG